AGGTGATTTTAACCATTAACGGTTCCCAAATTGTTCCTTACATCATCATCCATCACAGACTAGTAAGGCAGTCCAATTCTCACCCATCACAAGCTACCAACGAAAAAGAATCAATTCGAATAGGAGTATTTCGCTAGCCATTACGGATATTATCATCTCACGAGAGTGTAAGTACTTTACTCCATCTTAAGAGGGACGGAGCCTGAGTATAGAGCTCATGTAATACAAATGCTTGTGATAGTGTGTGTGAAGGAACATATAGGTTTCATGCCCCAAAAATAAAAGACAAAAGAAAAAAAAAATTTTAGCAATCAGATAACACAAATCATTACAATCTAAAACCATTAGACTAAAAAATAGGATAAATTTAAAAGTTTATGGCTTAACTCTCTATAGTTGTCCCCAATGAAGTCGTCAAACTATCATAACACATAGATCCGTAAATCTATAGCTAGACTTAACAAGTGGAGTCACTACCAATCTTTTTTAACCAGGTGTGATTGGCCACCTAAGGAATCTATCATTTTAAGGAACTCTTAAACTTAACTAAGGGTCTTTTAAATAATAGGTTCGGGTCTACAAATCAGAACAGGGTTTAGGAGTTCAATTACATGTGAAAAAAATTATAGCACTCTCATATGCCCATCCAAAGAATGGTACCATTTTATTTTAAATTTATCCTAAGATTCTAATGGTATTAAATTTTTATGTTGAATATTGAAAATAATTTTTAAGATTCTCTATCAATCTAGTAAAACTCTTAAAAATATTTTCTCATCTCAAGAGTATTCAAGGATCTCATTTATTTTCTTAAAGAACCTTCGTCATTGAAAAGATTTTTTTTGTTTGGTTTTTATCAAAAAATATAGCTAATTATTTCACCATTTGGGCCAAATTAGAAATATTTTCTTTTTCTGAATTTTTAAATTTTTCACCATTTTGGTCTATTTAAAAATTCTTTTTATTTCTCTCTTTTTTTTGGAAAGAAAACAATATGAAAATTATATTTCTTGAAATTTCATTTAAATTCTTTCACCATTTGAGACAAATTTAAATAAATTTCTCACATGATGATTTCTTAAAAAATTTACCATTTGAAATTTTTAAGATTCTCATTATTGGATAATTGTCAAATATTTTCAATCAAAATTTTTTATTTGGAAAAGAATACAATTACTTTTATTGAATTTTCATCTAAATTATTTCACAATTTGGGACAAATTTAGAGAAATTTCTCACCTAAAGATTTCTTAGGAATTTACCATTTGAAATTTTTACAAAATTCATCCTTGGTAATTAGTATTTTTCCAATATTTTATTAATATTTTTATCTTTTATTTTTTTTTATTTTTTTGTTTGAAAATAAATATTAATTATTGTTATTGAAATTTTATTTAAATTATTCAACCATTTGAGACAAATCTAAAAAAAATTTCTCACTTAGGAATTTTATAAAAATTTATCATTTGAATTTTCTAAAAATTTCATCATTGGATAATTAATATTTATTCTCAAAAAATATTTTTTTTTATTTTTTTATTTTTTTCTTAAAATTTAATCATACAAAAAACCCCTAAAAATAATCAAACACATAAATAAATAACTAAATATAAAATATAAAAAAATAGAAACAGCTCGACTGAACAACTTCGGTGCAGCTTGGCTTGGCTTTAGGTAGAAGGTGGATCCAGAATCTCGACTTGACGGCTCGATTTGCAGCTTGGCTCGATTGGAGCCAAAGGCAGTTACAAGTTGAAGGCGGGTCAAGCGTTCGGGTAGGGTTGCCCAGTGATAAAATGCATGGATCCTAGGCTAAATTAAAATACCAAAACGATGTCATTTTGAAATTGGTATAAAAGCCCAAATTTGGTTTTTCTTTCTCAGATTTCTCTTTCCCCCTTTCTCTCTTCCCATTTCTTTTCTTTCCTTCTCTTTCTAGAACCAGATGAACTCTGGTTGAATCTTCATTGAATTCTAAAAAATGTCACTAGAATCTGAGTTGGTTCGCTGAAAGTTCACCGAAAAATTCAATCGGTGCCAGAATCTTTGACAAAATTCTAAAAAAATTGTCGAAAAATTCAACCGGTGTTGAAAAGTTCACTGAAAAATTCAACCAGAAACTAAAAATTTTTCAAAAATTTTTTTTTTTTGAAACCCAAAAATTTTCAAACAAATTTTGACTGCTTTTGCATGCTTTTTCTAACGCCTGTATTTCTGATTTCTACTTTGATTTTTTTGATTTTTTATTGTGTGTTTTTTGTGTGATCTAATATTGTATTTATAGGATTTCAAATCTAAAAACCCTAAATCAAAAAAGATTTCAATCCCTTTTGAATTTTAATTCCAAATTTTAATTCAACTTAAATTTTTCACACAATTTCACACCAACTCAACACCTATTTTTTTGTTTTCATTTGTTTTTATTTTTTTCAAAATTAACTTGAATAAAACCTTAGATAGATTGAAATGTCTACAAACAACATTTTCCTTTAACGCAACCACAACAAATTTGAAGAAAAATAGAAACCCATAAAATAAAATTACCAAAGAAAAGAAAAAAAATTACTTAATTGAATCAAATCAAAAGATGAAACAAATCCCTTTAAGAAGTTAAAAAAATAAAACTAATATAAAAAATAAAACCCAAAAATAAACTTGAATGAGATTGACACTATGCTAAATTTTGTGATCTTATATTTAAAAAAACAACCAAGATGAGGTTGGCAAGTGAAGAGTTGACAACAAAAATAAGGAAAAAAAAGGCAGCAAGTTGATATCAATGAAGAAGGTCCCTACAACCACGAAGAGGAATGAAAAATTTAAAAAAAAAAAGAAAAGAAAATTAATGGGAGATTTTTAGGCTAGAAGGAAGAAAAGGGTAGAGATCGGCAACTTAAAAAAAAAAAAAAGGAAAAAACAATAAAAGGATGGTGACTAGATCTGAAAGAAGTAACATTAGCATGTGAACGGAAAAAATTTGTTCTGGCCGTGAAAGGGGAGATTTAGAAAGAACAGAGGGTAAAAACAAAAGATAAATTTTTATATTTATATTTTAATATTTAATATTTTATTTTTAGTTAATTTGTGCCATGAGGTGATATGGGTAAAAACTGACACGTCAACAATAGATTTTATATGTAATAGAACGTGTACATCGCTTGAGTTAGGAATCTTTATCTGAAAAAAACCTAAAATTATTTAATCATGAATTGGATAAAATTAAAAGATATGTTCTGGAATTGATCCGAACAATAGATTCAAGGGCTTTTTTTATATCTCCAAACTTCATTTTTGATTAAATATAAATTTGGTCTATATACCACATAACTTTTATCAATTTGTTACATAAAAAAAATAAATTTTACAATTAAATACTCTATCATTTCATTAAGCATTTTTATATTTTAGCTTAATACCGTTAGTTAATTAGTTGACGTGCCATTATACACAATAAAATCTTATTGCTTGGCAAAAATGCCACTTCAACATGAAAAGAATAATTATTTAAACAAAATTCAAAAAAAAAATAATAAAAAAAATTAAAAGTAAAAAAAAAATGAAAAAGGCTTAAATTTTTTTAAAAAATATATATACAAAAAATTTTTAAAATATGGAAAATTGTTTAAAAATTCAAAATATTGATAACTTCTTTAAAAAATTAAAATAAATTTTTTATGAAAATTCAGAAAAATAAAAAATTTTAAAAAATTTTAAAATCCAAAATTTTTTAAAATATCTCAATATTTTAAAAATTTTAGAAAATTTTCAGATTTCTTAAAGTAAGAGTATTGAATTTTTATGAACAAAATCGTAATTTTTAAAATTTTTTATTTTTAATACAAAATTTAGATTTTTATTTTTTAAAATGTTTTCAATAATTTGTATTAGAAAATTTTTACAGAAATTTGAAAATTTTAATTTATTTTTTAAATAATTAACCTTTTAAAATTTTAATATATATTTGTTTTATTTTTAATTTTAAAAATATTTCATCTTCATATTGACGTGATAATCAATAAGGTGATACTTTTGAGACATGGCATAATTTTATTAATTACCTATACCAAATTAGCAAGTTAACTAACAATCAAAGTAGCAAAAATGTTTGACATAGTGAAAATTAAGGATTTTATTACGAATTTTAATCTCTATCTATGCAAAACTAAAAATCTATATAGTATATAAGTCAAATTAATATTGAACCCTTCATTTTATTAGGGTTAAATAGTTATTTGCCCCATGTAGTATATTTTTTTTGTCAATTTGATATTTAAAAAAATAAAATTATTTATTTAGTACTTCAAGTTTCATTTTATCTTTTAATTTGATACTTTGAACTAAAACCGTTAGTTAATTTACAGATGTGACATGAACGAACAATAAAATGCCGATACAAGTGAAAAAGTTTAGTTAACTCTATATTATCAATTATCACGTTAATATTAAAAAAAAATTTCAAAAAAATCTGAAATAATTCTAAAAAGTTTTTAATTTTTTAAAAATTATAAACACTAAAAAACTTGAAATATTTTTAAAAATTCAAAAAATCTTAAAAATTTAAAAAAATCCAAAAAATTTATAAAACGAAAAAAATTAAAATTTTAATAAAATAAAATTTTTTTAATTCAAAAAACTTAAAAAATTTAAAAATAAAAATTTTTTTAAATATTTGAAAAATCTAAAAATTAAAAAAAAAATCTATAAAATTTTTAGAAAACTGTGAAAATTAAAAAAAAATGAAACATTCTAAAAAATTGTAAAAAATTAGAATATTTTATGAAAAATAAAATAAAAATATTAAGTTTTTTTTTTACTTTTTACTTTTTTATTTTTTTAAAAAAAATTTCATAAATTTTTTAGACTTTTTATAAAATTTTTCTACTATTCAAACGTGGTAGCTGTGAAATATCATCTACTATCTCTCTCTAGATTTTCATGGTTCATTGTAGTAAACCTTTAACCCAATTATATAATAGCTTCTTTAACAACTGTTGGCAAGTGCCAATTGAAATAGTTTTTTGAGTTTGGATTCTTATTTTTTGTGGCCCGAAGGTTGTCACATTCTTTACTTTCTGTTCACTTGTTTCAAAGACCACATTATTGACATTGCTCTCCTTATTGTACATCTTGTAACTGCAGTGGTATCAGATAGACTTATTATAAAATTTTATGCTTTCTTCAACAGCAATAAGTCTGAGGTCCATTCAATTTATCACTTCTGTGATGTTGGTGGATTTTATGCTTTAATGACCAAGGAAAAGGCAAATAAATTTGCTAGATGGTGCCTTCACTTTGATGCTTCCCTATTCTCCATTTTCCACTGGGAGAAAGAACCTAGGCAGTCAAGGTTGTTCATTTTTGTTTATTTCTTTGTTTGCTTTTATTTTCGAATCGGAGGAAGTTGGATTTGTTAGACCATCTGATCGTAAAAGGAAAAGGCGAATTGTTGAACCATCTGATCCTAAAAGGAACAGGCGAGGGCAAACTAAGTCTGGAAGGAAAATTTACACTTTACCTAAAATTAAGAAACAAAAACTCAGCACTGGTATGCCTTACTTGGTCTACAAGTGTGCTTGGGTTGCTTTTCTTCTTTTCTATTTGTTCAGAACTTCATATCTATATTTATGCAAGTTGCAGACAGCATACTCCCGGAATAGAGAATAGAGGAAAAACAAAGAGAAATGGAGATATGATGAAGGTATTCTTGCTGTAACCTTGACTTCTCCTAGGAGTAGTATTGAATTGTTTCGTTACTCGCATGTCATTTTTGCATTCCTTGCTAATTTTGGTAGTTTCTGAACTTTAATATGATAGAACTTTGAAATTGATAAGGGAATTATAGTCTTTTTGGCTTTTGAGTATACTATAATAGACATTGTCAAGAGGCAGGTTTTAAAAGAAAATTGAACTATTGATCTCCATTGAACAGTAATATCGCTCATTACAGTTGAGGTGCAGACAATCTTAGGATTGGAGGATTTCTGTATTGTTTAAGTTTATCTTTTTACTTTTATTTGTGGTAGTCATATTGCTGTTGAAGTACATGTTATCTAAGATTTATTAGCCTTAGTTCCTCATTGCTCATTTACAAGATTATACTAATTTGGGTTTGAGTATAAGGTTTTGTTGTCTCCATTCCACTCAGTTAACCATGATTTATTAGTTATTTGGTGACTCTGAATCCATTGTTTAGCAGTCTTGGATTACTGTGAAATCGTGGTCATTAGTATTGAGCTACAAACGATACCAACCTTTTACAGTTTCATTGTAAGATGAGACTACTACATGTTTCCAAGGCACTTGTAAGATAAATCTCATAGACTTGTTTGGGTAATTGAGCTTAACAAGACTTATATTCTAAACTCTCAGGCTATTACTCACTATTAACAGATTTGGAGCTGAAGGCTAAAATAGAAGAGTCAGGTATCATTTTCTTCACTCTCCAGTTAGAAAATTTCTTCATCCTTTTATTGTTTCCTATCTCTGTCGCTTATGGTTTTTCCTTTTTTTTTTGGGTGGTTTTTCTACCTTTAAAACACTTTGGAACTAAGCATGTTGTTTTTTATTTATGGATGCTTTTCCGGTTATGTTGTTCTACACGGTCGCAGAGGATCGTAGCTTGTGAGGATTTTACCATAATGTATTTTTCTTTACATATTTCTAAAAGGGATTTGTTGACATGCAATACTATCATATATGAACATTATGCAACTGCAGTGATACGAAGTAAGCTTGGTTAATGATAAAATACGTGATGATCAGGAAGCTTTGCTTTCTAGCCAAGCTTAATTGGTAAGCAGAAGTCTTTCTTTTATTTGCTCATGTGTAACTGATACATTGAATTTGATTATATGTAACTCCGTGTTAAGGTTTAATTGTTCTCTGTTTTTCAGGGCTGGAAGAAGTTGAATTTGTGGAGCCACATCGTAGACGCATTGTTTTCTTAGCTTTTGATTAGTACGTGGTAGCAACGTGTGGTGCAAAGCAATGAAAGTGACCAACAACTTTTTAACTATTCAAGGTGTTTTAATCTGTTTGAAAGATTCTCTTGGCGTTAAGACTTGAAACAACAATTTAACAAAGGGAACGTCTTGTGAACAACCAAGAATATTTGTTTTGAAGGCTCATTTTGGAGACTTAAATTTAAAGAAACGAAGTAACCAAACAATTTGTGTACATGATATTGTGCACAATGACTGAATGAATTAGGATGTACTAACTTGGGTTTATATAGTTTTGCATTTCACACAAGTAATTACCAGGTGTAACTCCTAAGAATCCTGTTATTTGCATGCCACACGTGAAACTTATGTCGGATCACGTTTTCCTTCCATTTTAGTTACAACGTGATGAAGTCGTTGGATTTGATTTAATTTTTGGTCCACCCAGTGCAGCTGATATAATGAAGCATTTTCCACGTGCCCATCCATTAGAAGAGTTTGAAAAAAAAAAAAAAACTTGGTCGAGAACTGATATTTTTTCAACCCATTTAATGGACAAAAATAAGTCACCTGTCTTTGTTTCTGTTCACTTGCCTAAGTTACGACATGCTATTTATAGTCAAGCATTTATTTGATCTGCTCATGACCAAGGTTGGGCAAGAATGTGAAATCCAAGTGCTCAATTAAACTACACGTTTCCAATTATGTGGTTGTGATATATATATATATAAGAAAAATATCAACAAATTAAATACAAATTTTTTATTTTGGGGATTTTAGATATAACAAACGAAGATGTAAGTGATTTACTAATACCTATGTTGATATGCGCTTTAGTAAAAGCAACGAAAATTATTCGTTTTAAGTAATATACACATGAATTTTTTAAAACAAAATTATTTAAATTTTTTTTAAACAAAAATTTTCAACCTTACATTTAGTTGAGAGTGTATTTATTACCATGAAATAAAATAGTGAAAACTTTTATTCTTTTAAATATTTTTTTTATCTTTTGTCCCATTGAATAAAAAACGTTTGAAAATAAATAAAAAAAAAACGTTGGTATAAACTTGAAAATTTTTTTTAAAAAAATTTTAAGATAAATAAATTATTTAGTTCCTCAAATCAAAATAAGATATAAATTTAGAATTAAAACTCTATTATTATCCTACTTATTGCATACATTATTCTTATGTTTGGAAATATATATATATATATACATATATATAATATTTAAATTTAACAAATTGTATATTATATTATGTTTATGTTAGATATATCAAATAAAAAATATATATTTTAATTTTTAATCAAAATTATATAAATTTTTATTAAAATTTTAAATTATATTATTTTCATATTTTTTACATCATTTTTATATTATGTTTTTTTTTTTAAATTATCACGTGTAAGAATACTTATTAATAAAGGTAACGACTAACAGGACATAAAGGAGAGAAACTTTCCTTCTAATTTCCATCAATAAAACATTATATTAATGAGAGAAACAGATATTTCAAAAAAGTAAAAGAAAAAAAAAAAGAAGGGGCTTCCAATGCTAGATTGTAAATTGGTACTAAAAGGACAGATGGTCCGGCCCATAGCAAACGAGAAACCTCATACAATGAACAAATTTAAAACAAAACTAATCAATAAAAAGATCGTTGAAGTAACCCAACTTATTACTTGTGTTCTAAGTCGAGTAGAATTTACCTATTCAATCACACAAACCCTAGGTTTCTCAAAGGCAATAATTAAAAGAAAAACCAACAAAATCAAAGCAAATTATAAGAAAAAGAACTTCCCAATTCCCAAAAAAAAAAAAAAAAAAAAAAGAAAACCACCCAAAATTACCTAATGTAAAATAAAAATAAAAAATAGTAAAACACAACTCCTGCCAAATTCCCCAGATATTGTACTTCCTCTGCTTTTGTTTCCATTTCCCCCCACCTTTCCTCCTCCATTCCTCTCTCTCTGCTTCCCCTTTTTCATCCATCCAAAGTAAAAACTCCCCCGATTAAAAAAAAAAATTCGCTCTTTTTCTTAATTATTTTTTTTATTTTGATAATAATAATAGTATAATAATAATAATAATTAATAATAATAATAATTCCTCTTTCTGTCTTCTCCAATTGCAAATCTCCTACACTTAATCCCACCGTAACTCCCCTAAGACCCTTCCCCGATCCCTCCCTTTTCCACCATGTCCCTCGATTCTTCCCCTTCCCTTCCGATCCCTTCCGACCCACCTCAAAACGACACCCTTCCAGCGCAAAACGACATCCTCACTACCCAAACCTTGGAAACCACTGATGCAAACACAACGCCAACGCCGACCTCACACTTAACGAGGAGGAATCGTCCCTCGCGGGCTTGTACAATCCGAGCCGCCCAACGCCTCCTCGCGCAGCAACAGCAAGCCGCGATCGAACGGCGGCAGAAACCGGCGAAGAAGGAGCAGCAACACCAGCAGCAGCAGAAACAACACAAAGACCAGAATGATGGTTCTTCGTCGCCGCGGCAGCAATGCAGCGGTAGTACCAAGATCGTTACTCCGTTAGTGGGGCCGCCGGAGCAGTCGCAGTTGCCTAGGTGGAGCATTCGGTCTATGTGGGAGTTGGCTTCAGTACTTAATTTCTTGCATGTAAGTTAAATTCCTTGTGTTATTTTACTTTTATTTATTCATTATGAAGTTTTGGTTTTTGTTAGGAACTTATGGGTTTTGACTGTAATAGGTTTTCAGGCCGCTTTTAAATATAGCTGTGGAGTTCTCGGCGGAGGAGTTTGAGACAGCGTTGATTACGCCTAATGATACTTTGGGAGATATTCATATTCCTCTGTTAAAGGTTGGTTCTTTTCTCTTCAACTCTTTAAAAGTTTGATTTTGTTTATGGGTTCTTCAAAACATGCCCTTCTTTTGTTTGTCTTTTTTTCATGGTTGTTGGCATTACTTTAGTCCTTATTGAGGCAATACGTTCTTTTTAGAGTTTGTCTTTTCTTTTAGCAATACGTTTATTAATTGAATGATATAGAAGAGTATAGATTTTTACTTAGTACTTTGAACGTAGTAGAGCAATAGTTGGATGGTTATAGAATCTATCTGTTGAATCATGGCTTTCTTCAGTTAGGAATTTGATTTCTTCTTGAAGCTATTGGTATGATTGGGCTCTTTGAGAGCCGTGGCTATTGATGAATCTCAAGAAATAGTTGTATAAGACAAATCAACTGTCTTCTTGGACGGTGGCTTGAGGATGATTTTCATCTTCTTAGGTCTCTGATCCTTATATTGGCTGAATGAAGTTAAAACAAACATGCAAAATAGTTAATGATATAAGTTCTCTCCTTTGGAATATTTATAATTCAGGATACTGACATAAGAAAAACTTGATTTTTCATTTGAAAGGTTGAATCTTGAATGTGTTATCAGTTGAAACCCTTGAACTTGAGATATAGTATCTTTACTGGAGTTTTGAGATAAAGAATTGAAATGTTTATTTTCTTGAGTACATATTGAGAGAACTACCTAATGCACTAAGCTTTGTTCTTTCTTGGTAGAATTTTTGGGTAACCTTTTCAGTGATCTAGAAGCAGACAGGCAATTTTTTTGTATCATATGCTTTTGACAACTTTTTGTTTTTTATGGTTAGACCAGAAATGATTCATGTTCCAACTTTTCTTGTACTATTAAACTCTGATATGGTGCTGAGCATACGTTTATAGCTATGGAGAGCCTTTCAGGAATTGCTTGCATAGTCTTTCTGCGCATAATTAGTAATGATTAAATTTATTAACTCGTCTTATTTACTTTTGACCTTTTGGTACCATTTCTAGTCCAATCAGCTGCTTTCTGGGGTTTTCTGGCAGATGCCTGATTGTGGTATTTGCTTAGAGTAGTTTATATCTTGATCTCCCAAGACATTGAGTATGAAGAATGATTTATTTAGCTAATTAATTTGGATTAATTCTTTTGAAATGATAGAGCTGCATTAAGTTCAGTGAAGCATCAAGAAAGAAAATGCTGTCATATAACTAATGGTTCTGTTCAAGGTTGTGTCATTTTGTAGGATTTATGGCTAGATGACATATTGGATGTTTGTAAATGAGATATCATATTTTTATGGAAGCAAACATGGTGATATGTATCATGGCATCGAAGAATGATACCGGGAGTTAATACCTTGGTAAGGAGCTTCCTTGAGTTATATATTCTAATCAAAGGTTTGCCATAGGTGTGATGGAGTACTAATTCACTGAAGAGTTTGCTCAATAGGTTTGCAGATGGCTTCATGCATGAAAAGTAAAAACCTTAAGTGACCCTAAGTAGTTATTATGTAGGTACTATTATCGGTAACTGAATTCAAATTGCCAATAATATAATTCTAAATCCTAAACCTGGTTCATCTTTGGACGGAAATTGTTTATAAGTTGTAGTAAGCTTGTGTAAATTATTGGAACCTCATCATATGTAGTTCAATAGCTTGGTTTTAATGTGCATCATATCTGTTGTTCCTGGCTGCTGGCTGCCTTGGTTTGGTTGCCTGTAGACCTTGTGTCTTCCATCTGTGTAGAAGACAGTGTTTTTGTGGCAAAATGTGCATCAGAAATTTGTATATAGTTTGTGCAGTTCAAGCATTAAAAGTAGATACTTTGCTTACAAAATGACAATGAACCCTAAAGAACTATGGCTGTTTGCACTTGTTTGTGATTGGAGGAAGGTCTTCTAGGTTGGTTTTAATGCTGAATGTCCACATACTTTTTGGCTAAGAAGTATTTGAAATTATAAAATAGGACGTACTTAATAAAAGGTGGGTGAGAGGATTTCTGTTGAATTTGTTAATTTCAATGGCTTGCTTGAAGTTTTTGAACCTATTTAGGGCCAACAAAGAAGGATATCAAGCCAAATAAATTCCGTTTACCCAAAGTTTTTCCATTACAGTATAGATCCTCATTATCCTATTCAGTAATGACTTTTACAATGATTATCTAGAGATTAATTTTCCATCTGACTTTTGAAATTTTCAACTTTCTACTCTGTAGAACAAACTTTTTCATTGCTCATATGAGGTGTTTTATCTTCTCTTCTGGAAAAGTCACTTAAAATAAAACAATATTGAATCATTTGAATGCCATATGAAGCAGTACAATCTCTAATCTATTTAGAAAAATGAAGCTTTTTTAATTTGAATATCATATCATATCTGCTTGTATTTTTTAGTTCTGTGTCAATGGTTTTTAATGTACGGTTTAAATGAATTAGTCAGGTAGAAAACTACTTTGCTATTTACTTGCTATCTATTTTTATAGATTCTGAATAGTGTAAAGTTTGTTG